ATTTCACTCAGTTCAACAAAATAAAAGATGAAGAAACTAAAACTGATTAAAGAGACCCAAACCTCTCAAAAGAAAGTGGGGGCGGGGGGGGGACGACAAGTTATCTAAAAAGAAGGTTTAAAGAAAGGGTAAGAAAGGGTAATTGGGAGTTGCAGAATTTGACTGTCAGTGACAATGCTAACCTCTTGCAGCAGTTTTGACGGGAAAACAAGCAAGAACAAAGTTCTACAGGATGAGTCTACCATGACACAACAGAAGCAGCAGAAGAGGCAGAAGGCTAAGGAGATTTAGGTGAGAACTTTACTATTCCTGTTGTGTTACTGTTTTTATATTCTCTTTTAAGCACAAGAAAATCTGAGGGAGAGTTCATTTAAAGGATGATTAAAATGCATCTAGGAATCCAAAACTGTGTGGCAGTTACAGTTTGCTAAGTGACAAATATTCTTCCCTATAGCAAACCCTGCTTTGAATTGCCTTTTTTTTTTTTTTTTTTTTTAAGACAGGGTCTTGCTGTGCAGTTCACACTGGCCTTGTGCTCACTTTTGTAGCCCCTAGGTTGGTCTCAAACTCGCAGAGATCCTCCTGGCTCAAGCTCTTGAGTGCTGCGATTACACAATGTGCCACCATGCCCAGTTCTGGGAATACAGGGGGGGCCTGCATCCAGGACCCAGAGGGCACGCCCAGGCATCCAGGGCCAAGACCACACAGCATGTGGCACTGGGGATCGAACTCAGGTCCTTGGGCTTGCCAGGAAAGTGCTTATGCTTCTGAGCCATCTCCCCAGCCCCGAACTGCTGCTTTTTAAAACTTGTAACATATAATGAAACAATCCAATATAATATTATATAGCCTTCTAGAACAATCTAAGACATCTTCAGCCAGTTCACCATTTTTGCTAAATCCATTTGACTTCACATATTTCTGTTTTAGTCAGTGGTAGATGCATTTTAGCGGAGTCAAAAGAGCTGGAAAAGTTTATGTTAAACCTATCCAATGCTGAAAATTCTCCCCAACAATGTCATGCATAAAAATACTTATAGTTAGTAAATTTCTAGCTTCAAAAGGACTCCTTTTGTAATTATAATTATTCATCTCCTTGCTCCATATACTGCTAGCCAAAACAAATTAAAGCATAACAACATATACACTCCCACCCCATTACTCATATACTTTTTTTTTTTGGTGGTACCAGGGATTGAACTCAGGACCTTGTGCTTGCCAGGCAAGCGCTTATTCTATTGAGTTATCGCCCCAACCCTCATATACTTAAAAAAAAAAAAAAATATATATATATATATATATATATATATATGTATATATATATATATATATTTATTTATTTATTTATTTGGTACAGGGTCTTGCTACACAGCTCAGACTCTGCCTCCTCAGTGTTGGGATTCCAGGCCTGTGCCACCACGGCTGGCACAGCATGTGGTACTGGAGCTTGAACTCTGTTCCTTGTGCTTGCCAGGCAGATGCTTAGACTGCCAAGCTATCGCCCTGGCCCCACACTCATATACTCTTAAGAAAACACATTAATTTCCTGCTTTGAATGTTCTTTTAGATTTCTCACTTGTTGCCATTACTACTACTACCCAGTCCTGTGTATGCTCCCTTACCATTGATTATTTCGTGCTTAGTTTTATTTATTTATTTATTTATTTATTTGGCCCAGAGTCTTGCTATGCAGTTCCTCCTGTCTCAGCCTCCCCAGTGCTGAGATTACAGGCATGTACCACCACACCCGGTTCTGGTGGCTGACACAGCATGCCTAGGTTCGTAGGCCAGCATGGCATGCAGTACCGGGAATTGAACCCAGGTCCTTACATTTGCAAGGCAGGCCTTTAGACCACTGAGCTATCTCCCCAGCCTTATGCTTAGTATTTTAGCAGTCATTAAATTTTCCTGTTCTAAAGCTCTGCCTATCATTAACATTTCAAATTACATCCTTCCTCTACTGAAGAAACCTCAGGTTTCTTTGTGTCTCTCCAGCTTTCACAAGGATGTCTCTGCCCTCTGGTCTGTCAAAAAGCAGCCCCTGTGCAATTCTGTGAACATCTCTCACACCCTGTCCATGTCTCCTCTGCAGCAAGTCTGCCTTCCTAAACAGACAATGTAATATTCTCTCCTCTTCCCGACCTGCCCTTACAGTACTGGGGTTAGAATGTAGGACCTTTGCATGGAGCAATCTCCTACCCTGTCTCTCCAAGTTGCAAACTCCCTGGATTAGGCTCAAAATTGTGATCCTCCTATCTTAACTTCCCACTGTATTGACATTATAGGCATGTGCTACCAAGCCTGGGTGACAAGACAGTTCTTGAGAAAAGATACTTTGTACTTCCACTGAATTCTTGGTAGTAATCAGTGCAATAATGAGCAGAGTTAAGTGCTCAGGGAACACTTGTTGCTTGGTTTGTTAGAGTGTTTTTAATTTCTCCCACTAGATTCACATTTTGAATGTATATTTCAATACCACATCAATGCTTACATTGTTTTCTGCCTGGAATGTCCTCCTCTGAGCTTAGTATATGTGAAACTCTCACTTGTCCCTCACTGAAACACTCCCCCTCTAGGAAGTCATTCCTGATTATCCCAGCCAGAATGAATAAAGCCCTACTGTTTCCTGTAGCATTTGGTTTATGAAGCCACCACATAACTTTTGGCAGTTTGTCTTCTAATATCCAGACTGCAAACTCTTTCTTTAAAAGTGGGTGGCCAAATCACCTCATCTTGTCTTCACCTCTACATGTTCTCTCTTCCCTATGCACACTTCCTACAGTTCCTAACCCTGCCTCACAGGAAACAGGCAATCAAGAAACACTTGTGGCCAGAACCCCAGGTACACTGTGCAGGCCCTGAAACCGGGCGTGATGGCACATGCCTAATTCCAGCGCTGGGGAAGATAAGACACGAGGATCACTACGAGTCTGAGCTGTGTAGTGAGACCCTGTACCAAATGAATGAATGATAGTGACAGACAAACAGATCTGTGGGATAGGCATGGTAACACATGCCTGTAATCCTAGCATTCAGATGGGTGAAGCAGGACTGCCATAGGTTCGAGGCCAGCCTGGGTTACATAGTCAAGACCAGCCTAAACATAGCAAGACTCTGTCTAAAAATAATAAAATAAACACTTATGGACATGAGTATTTTCCAACAAATTTTTCCTTAAATGAAAATAATAAAATAAATTTAATAAGTGCAGCACATTAGTAACTGTCAGATACTTTTAAAAATGACCTACTATAATTACTTTAAAGATTATTAATATTCTTTGGTAAAGTCTAACCTAAAGGTAAAAGACATTACATGATTTTTCAAGGTCTTTACTATAATTATGAACCTATTACTTTGAAATATACATTTAAATTACAATCCTGAAAACAATAGGAATAATATACATGATAAATCTAAACATACCTTGGGGACTTTCTAGATGATAAAATGTGTGTGTATATAAATAACTGTTCCTCTAAGTCATGAGGTCAATGAGTTACCCTAAAGTAATACTCAAAATTCAACGCATGATAGTGTCAAGATTTTGGTGAGTTTCATTTTGATCATTATTGTTATAACAAGTCAAAAGACATAATAAATATTGGAGGGCTGGGGGCATAGCTCAGCAGCATGGCACCTGCCTGGCAAGCATCCAGTCCTGTGTTCAATTCCTTGTTACCCACCACTCCCGCAAAAAATAAATATTCAGTCACTTCTAACTCAATAACTGCATTAAAATGTGAGAATACACAATTTTGCTATTCTATAAAAACTTTCAAAAACAGGTAGCAGCATAATAAATACTAGTGCAGAACTAATGATTCCAAAAATCTGAAATATAGCCAGAGTTCCACCGGTTTACTACTTGTGTGACTTTGGCTAAGTTAACCTTTCTAAATCTCCCTTTCCTTATGTAAGATGATAGCATCTTCTTTACCTATAAGTATGGATTTATGTAAAAATCAAAATGACCTTATGTAAGGTCATTATGTAAATGACCTTAAACATAAAGGAAAGATACAAGGCTACTGCAATTTTTTATCTTTAGGTAATGTTAATAAGTTAGACTGTTCTATGATTCCATGAAAAATCTGAGAATAAACTATTTCTTGAATATGTGATAGACTTTCTATAAAATTGTCTGAGCCGGGGGTGGGGGTGGGGGGGGGTCCTTCCCATTAGCTCAGGTGTTTAAAATTGTCTGAGTCTGGTGTTTTATTGTGAAAGAAAAATGTTGTTTTTTCATTTTATTTAATGATTATAAATTATTCAGCTTTTTCTTTCAGACAATTTTGGTTAAGATATTTTAGAAAATTATATATTTTGTTTACATTTTCAGACTTATTAGTGTAAAGTTTTTCCTAGTATTCTCAGGTTCTTGGTATCTGTTGTACTTCACTTAATGTTTAAATTATGAATTATAGGCTTTTCACATTTTTGGCATTATACATTTAAATGTGCAAATACAAAATTTCAATACAAAATTTAAAATAATTTTTGTTGCAAGATAGCAAAATAAAGTACTGTTTCTTGTACTGTACTGACCTCAAATAAATACATGCCACCCGACAGAATGTTTGTCAGTTTGCCTGTGGTCTTGGAATGAGCTTATCAATCTCTGTACTTTTCATTCTTTTTCCATAACCTAACCTTCTTGAAAGAGATTATTCAAAACAAATAAAAACTTTCTTTCTCAAAGAGTGACTCTAGTGACTACACGGCACAGAATGCAATATTTCTGAAGTGCTACGCTTGCCTCTTCCGAGATCCTCACTTGTTTCACCTGTAGATATTTCAGTCAGTCTGTGATTTGGAGGGGGAAAAATGTCCCATTAGGATCAAGTAAGATTATCATATACAAAGAAAGGCAAATCCAAGATATGAAGCATAACATAGTGGCCTTAAAAAAGAAAAAAGATTTTATAGTAGAAACTTATGTGAAAATGTGATTGGACCAAGGCAGCTCTCAGTACATTTAAGGATTACACACTGAGATTTCAGCTTAAGAAAAGGGTCAACCTAGATCTTGTTTCTAGATTTCATATTTTTAGGAACATTAGTACAAGAATATAAACTCATACACTAAAATACTAATTGAAAATCTGAGCCAAATTTAAACAAATTTTCCTAATTGAAAATCTGAGCCAAAACACAAATTTTTACAATAAAAATGTGTTGAAATGAACTCCTTTGATTGTGTCACTGATTCACAGGCAGAAAGAGCTATAAGGAAACAGCGGCAGCACCTTCTTATTTCGTACACACTGTGCCTGCTCGTACCACTTCCCTAAGTGCTTTGCTTAATACAAATTGCTAAAGGCAGAAGAAATAATCTAACAGGTACAAGAGAATTAGCCACAACTCTAAATATCTACAGTTGAATAGAAGAGCTATCTAACAAATTATTAACATTAAGAAACTTTCAAAATACTAACAATACATGTGACCACTGGTACTTGGACAATGGATGACCCAAAGAACAAGGCTTCACACTCTATGTAACCATATTTGCTTTCCAGTGTCATACCTCAGGAGGTTTGAACTCTTCAATTCCACCTTCCATTTTCTGTTTAAGTGCACTGTTTACTTGCTTAGCATTCTGAACCTTCAATAAAATAAGCCAAAACATGAATCAGCTAATGTAACAGGTAAATTTCTGAGCATTCAAATAAAACAAGGCCTCTTAAATTTTATTTTAGAAGAACAGATGTACTTATCACTCATAGGGTATTATGGACCACCCAATTCAACAAATACCATGTATCAACTAATGTACACATTTAATAGAGTTTGAATTAGACTTTTAGTAACCTCAAATATCATAAATCTATTTTAAAATAGATTTTACCAAATTTTTGTTTTTTTTTGAGATAGGGTCTCACTATACAGCTCTAACTGACCTTAAATTCACCACATGTAAATTCACTAAGGAAGCACAGGCTGGCCTTGAACTCACATCGCTTCTCCTGGCTCAGCCTCCTGAGTGCTGGGTGTTTCACCACCAAACTCAACTAACACAGACACGAGTTAAATTTCTTTCACATTTCTGTTTATTACAATATTCTGACCAAATAATAATTATTTTTATAAGAGGAATGATGATGGCAAACATTTATTAGGTATCTTTGATGCATAAAATATCATTCTTGGTAGTTTATACACAATAAGCTGCAATAATTCTCACAACCACCTGGGAGGTAATTACAATCAGTTTTGCTTTAATACACGTAAGTCACTGTGCTATGAAAAATCCACATGGGGAAAGGAGGCTGGGATACAACACTCAAAATTCATTAATGACAAGAAAGAAATATAAGAAAAATGAGAACAGTTACGTACATTATCAATAATTTAGAAAATAAAAAAATGTGAGGCTGGAGATATAGCTAAGTGGTAGAGCATTTTCCTAGTATGTGTAAAGTCCTGGATTTAACCCCTCAAAGAAAAGGAGAGAGGAAGAAAGCTAATAAAAAAGAGAGGGAGTGAAAAAGAAAGGGAAGGAAGGATGGAGAAAGAAAGGGAGGTAAGAGAAATAAACCCACAAATGCTACATGATTACTTTACCTTGAAAAAGACCTGAAAATTGGTTGCAAGAAGTAAGCCTCAAAATGACCGCAGCTTGTTAGTTATAAAGGGGTAAGATGCTTATTTTAGATGAGACCAAAGTTTTAAAATCAGAACAGATCCAGAGCGCAGGCCCAGTGAGTGAGTGAGACGATCAGGGCCATGGGATCCTGAACAGACCCAGAACTCAGGCCCGGGGAGTGAGTGAGACGACCGGGGCAGCGGGATCCTGAATAGACCCAGAGCTCAGGCCCGGCAGAGTGAGATGACCTGGGACCCTCCGGATCCTGAATAGACCAGGAGTACAGGCCCGGAGAATGAGTGAGACGACCGAGGCCGCGGGATCCTGAATAGACCCAGAGCACAGGCCCAGCACGGAACCCTTCAGCAGAACTCCCTACAAAGAGGCTAGAGGCAAGACCCACCCAGCTGATTCAAGAGCAGAACATCTTGCCAGAGAGACACAAAGGGTTCAACTCCAAGGGCTGCAGGAGAAAGAAGTGGAGCACAGCAGCCAAATCCAAACATACCCACCTGGAGGAATCAGAACTTCCGTAGGTCCGGACCTGGTGCTAAGGTATAACTCTACCTAAGCTCTACACCAAAGGTCAGACAGAAGACAGTGGTATACAAAATGACAAAGAGAAGGAACAAAATGCAGTCTCAGGC